ACCCTGGTCCTCCCAGGAGCAGGAGGGTCCCAGCAGCTGCGGGGGGTCTGTGGGGAGCGAGGAGAAGGGTCAGCGCTGCCTCTAATCTCCCCAGAACCCAGCTGTCCTGCCCCCCTGGGGTCTCCCCACTCACAGACCACGGAGAGGCTGAGAGAGACGCTGTGGGAGCCCAGCGGGTGCCGAGCTTGGCAGGTGAACTCTCCTTCCTGTGCAGGCCCCACGCGAGGCAGCTCCAGGATCGCGGTGCTGGAGATGGGGGTGGCATTCAGGCCTGGGGACCCTCGGAACCAGCTCAGCTCGGCAGGGCGGTTGCTGTCAGCCTCACAGCGCAGCCTCAGGGCCTCTCCCTCCAGGATGGAAAGGGATGTGGTTTGCAGATTCTTAAAGGCTTTGGGGGGAAGGGTTTTGAGGGAGAGAGAGAGAGAGAGAGAGAGAGAGAGAGAGAGAGAGAGAGAGAGGTGTGTGTGTGGAACATAGATGCAGGCACCCACCCACCAGAGGTGAGGGACTGGGGTGATGCCTTTCATCCTTGCCCTTCCCATGTCTCATCCCATTCAAACTCCTGCTCCCCCCTCTGCCCCACCAGGGCCCGGGGGCAGGTCCCAGCCCAGAGAGGAGGGGTTCTTTCCTACCTGTGTCGTTTCTGAAGGAGACGCCCAAGGTGAGTTTCCGAGGGGCATCTGGGATAGAAAGACAGGGCCCCCCTTCACATGGAAGTCACCCCAACCCCAAGCAGGGGCGGTGGGAACACTCCCCACCTACAGGCACATCCATGCCCAGGTGTTCTCAGGATAGCTCAGCCTCCTGCACACACACACACACACACACACACACACACTCGCCAGTGCCATTACCAACACAGACCCAGCCCCCCCTCCAACACTCACAGGAGACATTGAGCTGGATGGTTCTCTGTGTGGTCCACTGGGACCCTTCCCGTTTCACCTGACAGGTGAGGTTGGTGCCATGGTCCCCGGGCCTCGGGGTGAAGGTGAGCTCTGAGGAGCTGCAGTTCTGGGGGTCCAGCGAGCCCACAGCGGCTCCCTCCCAGGAGAAGGTGAGAGGTCGTCCCCCTTTGCAGGCCCCTGGCAGGCTGCAGGCCAGCTGTGTGGGGCGGCCGGACTCCAGGGGCTCCCTTATTCGGATGTGGGGTTTCTCTGTCAGGGCTGCAGGAGAAAGGCAGGTGCCTGGACTCCAGGGGTGGGGACTCAGAGCGGGACCCTGAGAGAGGCCCTGCCTCAGGCTGAGCTCACCCAGGCCCTGTGTCTCTTCCCACCACCCAGGGCCCACGGCCTGGACAGTGACTGACCCAGTGTCCTGTCTTATTCCAAGACCAAGTTCCACATCTCAGAGTTCTCTCCGGGGCCCCTGCCTTACCTGTCACCTGCAAATTCAGCATCTTCTCTTTGTAAGTATATTTCATACTTTCTCTCTCCATTCGGAAGACGTATATTGTTGCGTCACTCCTCCTGGCATCTCTGATGTGCAGGGAACAGTTGTTCCTGGTGTCTGGGAGGAGGAAACGGCCTTTTGTCTCTTCCTTTGCTGGTTTATCTGGGTCGTTTGATGCCACAGGCTTACTATACTGCATGTTGTCCTCTTTCCGGTACCAATAGGTGTAGAATTTGCTAGAGGAAGACCATGAACTCCAGGGGTAGGAGAAGGAGCAGGGCACGTGGATGCACAGACCCTCCTGCACCGTCACAGATTCCTGCACTCGGAGCTCAAAGCCTGGCTGCTGCTGCAGCGACCCTGAGAGAGGGAGACAGAGGCTCAGATGCAGCCCCATCCCTCTCCCACTTCCTCACCCCCCCTCCCTTGGCCCACTCACCCCCCCACAGCAGGGGCAGCAGCAACAGGGGCACCATGTCTGCCTCTCTCAGCACAGAGTAGGTCCAGGTCCCTGTGTCAGGGAGGGAAGTGCCAGCTCTGGGGTGGGGCCTAGGACACCCCAACAGGAAGCCCAGGGGGAGAGACTGTGGATAGTCCTGGAAGAGGAACTTGGCCTCCACAGTAGTTGGGGGGTGTGGTGGCTGAGAAATTTTCCTATCTCCCCTCCCTACTCCTGACCCTGCACGTAAATATACTGAGGCCCCCAGAGGTTCAGAGGCATGTCCAGATGTGACCCCCTTATAGATGAGGTGTAAGTCGAGAGGGTGGTCCCCCAGGGGGCCACCGTGGTCATCACTGGTCCTGGTGACTCAGGGGATCCACCCTCCAGCTGAAACCATTGTGTAAAAGGGTAATTTTAAAATTTCTTCACATCACTCAAATGCTGAAAGAAGGAATTTAGACTCAACTCTCATGGAGGGTGGAACCCAGGGGAAAAGCTGATGCCTTTTGGGGCACACGGGAAGCACAAATGTGGGTCTCCCAGGGTCTGAGGGACAGCGACAGCGCACAGGCCCCATCAGAACGGGATGTGTGAAGGCAGATCGCACCCCTTCAGGGGGAGCCTCAGAGGTTGGACCTCCTCACGACAGCAAATTTGCCACCTTACAGCTCCGGAAGCTCCACCTTCAGGGCCCCTCAACGTGCTCAGTCCCTTTTCAAAGTCCAGCAGGGGCTCGAGTGATGTGTGGACATAACCTGCAATCCTACTGCTCTTTTATGAAAGAAACTTGATCAATGTTTTCCCAAATATGACAATGATGTGAAACACTTCAGACAGTCCCAGTAACAAATTGTGCAATTGAAATAAGTTCCTCAAACTGTACAGAAGAAAAAAAAAATTCTCTCAACCACGCTGAGGACACACAGAAATCTCTTTCTATTCTCTATACTATATACATATACTATTATAACAATTAATAATGTTTCTTAGTATGATATTAACACGTATTAGTACATGACAGGATTATTGTCCTATAAAGAGTCCATCAAATGTATAAGTCAAAAAAATGTGGGGAGCGCGTTATGCAGGTGTTGTAGAAAGGTATGTCATACTGCTAATAAAAAAGGTCTGTAATTTTTCGGAATTGTCTAATTTTTGGTTTTCAGAATTGTAGCTTTGTGACATGATGTGTATTCTCATTTCAGAAAAATTCATGTGTGCCACTTTGTGTATTAGTTTTGAAACAGTGATCTCAACATTTGTACAAATATCAAGCTCCACAAAACCAGGTCTTCCCCTGCTTTGGATGCAGATGAAGAAGAGGTAACCAGCTCCATCCACGCATGTATTACAATGACCACCCACCGAGACTCCTCACGTATTACAATGAAGATTGTCCAGTGCAAACAGAGGACTAAAGAAAGCACAATTTCCATGGCTGTGCCCCACAATTCCTATCACTGAACCATGTAGCAAATCTCAAGCTGGGATATAAAAAAGACAAGAAATAATAAGTGTTGGCAAGAATGTTCAGAAAGGGGAACCCCCTTGCACTGTGGGAATGTAAATTGGGGCAGCCACTATGTAAATCAGTATGACAGGCAGTTCCTCAAAAATTATAAATAAAGCTGCCACAGGACCCAGCAACACCACTTCTGGGTAATTATTTGGGAGAAATGAAAACACGAACTTGAAGAGACGCATGTACGCCCATGTCCACTTTGGCATCTTCTGCAATAGCCAAGATGTGGAAGCATCCTCAGTGCCCATCCATAAATGAGTGGGTGAAGAAATGGTCCATGTGCAATGGAATATTATTCTGTCATAAAAAAGGAAAACCTGTCATTTGCAACAACATGGATGACCATGAAGGCATTATAAGTGAAGTAAATCAGACAGAGAGACAAACACCGTATGATCTCACTTATGTGTGGAAAGTTTGAAAAAATCAAACTCATAGATACAGAGAATACTCTGGTGGCTGCCAGAGGCAGAGGGGGTTGGGTTAGGAAAAGGTCAACATTTTCAGTTATAAAATAATTCATGAGGACATAATATACATCATGGTGACTGTAGCTAATAATAGCATGTGTTGATATTATGAACTATAGTAATATAGTTAATAATACTGTGTTGAATATCTGAAAATTGCTAAGAGGAAAATTGTTACAAGTTCTCATAAGGGAAAAAAAGTGTGTAACACTGTGGTGGTGGATATTAACAAGATTTTTAACAGCTTGTGATGGGCCCTTCACAATTTGGAACTGGCAAAAAGTTATAGGTCAATTATATCTCAGTTATCCTATATGAAAAAGTCCGGCAACCGAACAGTAGAATGACCGTAATGACTGTGGCCCCTCGCCCTGGCCGACCCAACCCCCAGCGGGTGCCCCAACCCTGATTTTGGAGTGGGGCTAGCCAAAAAATGGCATGCAGCCCCGCATCAGGGCGGGCCGGCTGGACCCCACCAGTGCACAAATTTGTGCACCTGACCTCTAGTATACCTATAAACTCAGGCTGGGTACTTTGATTAGAGTTAGGTCATCGAAACTGTGTTCCTTTTCTGCTCCATTTGTGTTCCAACACGGGCATAACAAATTCCTTACATTAAATTCCCGCTGCTGAAATACATAGTGGGGCTTCTGTTGTTTCTCACTGGCCCTAGACTGATTAAATCTCAACAAGTAAAACAATGAGGACTGGGGGATTTCAAATGCCTTCATGATAAAACTCACAGCCCACTACACAGAATTTCTCTAACGAGATAGAGGGTGTCTTCAGCAAATACCACACCTAATGCAGTAGCATTGGGTCCTAGAAAGGCAATAAGAATATAGCTTTGAAAATTGAAAACAAAGTTTTTTTTCATAAATGATTTCATATATAGAAATATCCCCAAGTATATAATGGATATACTTGGGGAGTTAATAAGCGAGTTAGCGAGGTTTCTAGAGACAAAAATCAAATTAGAAAAACATCAAATGCATGCCTATGTCACAGCAATAAACAAAAATTAGGATGTTGTAAAAGATGCCATTGACAATAGCGTCAATAATTATTAGATACCTGGAGTATATCTATTCAGGCATGGACTCTGTCATCAACGTGTTTAAGAAAATAGATGGTAAAATAGGGACTGTTACTGTCAACATGGAACACATAAAAAAAGAACCAGGCAGAACGGAATGACTAACCCTCCTGCCGTGAACAGCTATCAAACCAGACAGAACATGGTTGACAATTGGCTCCGCCTTGCTCCAGGTGTAGCTCTTCCGCCCAATCGCCTTCCGTGATGACCAACACCAACACCAAGCCCCCCACCAGCCACCGGGCTGTGTGCCCACCAAGGCAACAGCTTCCCCCAGGACTTCCTGTGAGCTTCCCCTTTGGACTCCCACGTTGGGGGCTGGACATCTTGGCTTCTCACGTTTTCACAAATAAAATGCTGGCTTCAGCACATCCGAAGGCACTGTCATCAAGTGACTCATGCGTTTCTCTGTTCCTCAATTTCCCATTGTGTACAGTGGAGACCATGCATCCTACTCAGAGCTGGTCGTGAGCGTTGAAGAGGTTTACACACGGAAATGAACCAACAGAGGTCACGTGGCGAGTGCTCAGGGCTGGCTGGTCTCCCTTTTTATTTTTATTTTTAAACAGGAAGGTCCTGCTGGCAAGTTCTCCTGAAGCCGGAGGTGACCCGGCCCAGTGGAAAGGGGGACGCTTGTTGGTGTCATTTTCCATCCCAGACTCTTCAAAGCCTCCCGACCTGGAGTTCAGCTCATGATGAGGCATCATGTCGTCTCTCCGAGGTCATCTCGCCTCACTTTACCTGTTCATTCTCCCAGCACCTCCTGCCCGTCAGCCCTTCTCTGTCCCACTGAGGGCCCCACAAGGAAACTTTCCAACAGCCCGTGGGCCGTAACCAAAGCTGACCAGGTATTTCATCACCAAAAAAGATTTATTCAGGGAAGAAGAAAAGGTTGCGATGCCCTCCACACAGTTATGGGGAGCCATGTGCACGCATTGCGCTAGGAAGAAGCAGGAAGGAATCCTGTTTTACCGAGGGGAAGCGGAAGTTAAGGGGCGGGGCTGAAAGGACCATAGAGCTCTGCTGTAACCATAGAGTGTTTCCTGTAGGGCTCTCAGCAGGGGTTGCGAGAGCGCCTCCCACAGGCCCTCCCGATTCCTATCTGGGTAGCACATTAGGACAGGACAGAAAGCTGACCCTGACTCTCTCCTACACACACCCCTTCCTGACTCCCTGGCTGTAGACAATACATCACAGGCACCTTCCCCTGGCATTGATCTACTCACTCACCCTTTCCTCGTGGCTTTCGTTCCTTCAATCTTCCATGAAAGTCTTTGCAGTATCAGATCACTCTCCTGGAGAGCATGCGTCCTTGCTTTCATCTGGCGAACACCATTCTGTCCTTCAAACGTGAGTTCTTGGAGGGACGTGGGTTGAGAGGGTGGACTGAAGAAAGAGCTCATACAACGGAACAGCCAAAAACTCAGTGCTACAGCACAGGTGCCTAAGAATAAGCTCTTTATCATAAGTGCGTGACACTAAGCTATGGATCGCTCCCATGTCAAAGGCATCCATCCGGATGAAGAGCCAGGCTGTCCCGCCCATGAAGTTCCCTTTTAGAAAATCGTGGGTGACCTACATAACTGACTGCTTGCAGGAGCCCAATTTTCCATCCTTGAACTTTAATTCCTGCTCTTCTGCTTTAAATTCACCAAGAGAGAACCTGCAAAATCCTGGGCACCCCACTCTCCTCCCCAATAGAGGATGAACATTAGGTCCTCTCTGTTTCTCTACCCGTGGCCTTGCTGAGTGGCCTTTGGTGTGTTGTGTGTCCTCCAGGACTTGTAAGTACAATTGTCCCCCTTCTTCGTGGGAGATATGTCCCAAGACCCCCAGTGGATGTTTTAAACCACAGATAGTTCCAAACCTTATATATAGTACTAGAGGCCCGGTGCATGAATTCGTGCATGGGTGGGGTCCAGCCGGCCCACCTCAATCGGGGCCAATCTGGCTGGCCCGGCTGGATGGAGGGGCCGTGGGTGTTGGCCGGCCGGCCCCCCATCTGGTCAAACTCCTGGTTGAGGGGAAATTTTGCATATTAGCCTTTTATTATATAGGATGATTTTT